CATCAAAATTGTGGAAATATGTAAATGGTAGGTAAAAGTATGAGGGAAAATTATAGAACCAAATCAAACTTGCGGAATTCCAGGTAGAACAATTTTCTCAAATTTACAATTAGTCCGTGATTTAATAGAATACGCAGAATTTCAAAATCTACCTAGTTTCATTTTGTCAATAGATCAAGAAAAGGCGTTTGACAAAATCGATCGTGCGTTTCTGCTGCAGATTCTCCAAAAATTTAATCTCGGAGAAAACTTTATATCCTTTATTAACACCATATATTCAGAAATTTCGGCATCTATTCTGAATTGCGGTTTCTTGTCAGCCCCATTCCTTACCAAAAGGAGAGTCAGACAAGGCGACCCCTCTCTCTTTTGTTGTGTGTCTTTGTCGCTGAAGCTCTCGCTTTGGTGATCAGAGCGGACAGCAGAATCAAGGGATTCCCATTACCAGGAACACCGAAACCCCTTAAAATACAGCAGTACGCAGACGATTCGAACTTTTTTGCCAGGGACGTAAAATCAGTCCGCTTTTTTTTCGAAAAAGTAAAATTGTTTGAAAAAGCAAGTGGTTCAGTGATCAATGCCTCAAAAACCAAGGGTCTTGCTCTTGGGGGTTTTGATCCCAAAATGTACCCGGAATTGGACAACATAGAGTGGACTAATAACATCGGTTTTAAAATTTTAGGTGTTACTTTTTACACCAGACTGAGTATTTCAACTGGCCAGTAACTCTAAACAAAATAGAGAAAAAACTCAAGTTTCTGGGACTACGTACTTTGTCACTTAGGGGAAAGACTACGTTGATAAATACGTTATCATTGTCAAAAGTGTGGTTTCTAGCAAACGTGTTGCCCGTTCCCGAATGGGTAATAGAACGTTTGCACAGTGCCATTTTCGAAAATCTGTGGCAAAAGACCAATTTCAATCCGGTCAAAAGAGAGACGCTTTTCCTACCCGTCAAAAGCAGGAGTCTCGGAATTTTATCACCGAAGGAGCAAAGCCTTGCGCTCCGCCTCAAAACACTCTTTCAACTGAAAGAATGCGGAGAGGATAACACCCACGATAATTACTACTTTTTAAAGTACTGGTTAGCAAGCTATTATCAAAGGTTACTGATGAAAAGACTTTATCTTCTTCAGGTTCTCCGGTCTTGTAACTATTATAAATAATGAAATGTACTTGTATTTAATATTTCTAAATATTTTACGGAAATTATCTTTAATTATAAATGGTTGCTTGACAAAAATTGAAAAAAAAAAAAAAAAAAAAAAAAAGCTCACTTATTAAATTTACAAACCAAAACCCAAGCTGGAACTTTTTGAAACAGAACAATTTTCCAAAACACTGGGACAACAAAATGTCTCAGTACTACAAAACAACTATTGAAATCTTATGCAAAAACGGGTCCCTTTTTAACATCCCCCTAAAATCAACAAAAAATTTTTACTTAGAAGTGGCAAAAAACAAAAAGACAGTCGTACCAGCGGAACTTTTCTGGAACGGTTCAACAAAAACAACAATGCCGTGGACCCAAATTTGGAAAAAGAACTTTACCTCCAACGCATGCGGACCGACTCAAAACATCCTCTTTCGATTTTTGCACAACAGCCTACCTTCTGCGGCCTTGCTAGCCAAAAGCAAAAGGCAACAGATTGTCAAAAACAACAAATGTAAAACTTGTGGTAAAATCGAGGACAACCTTCACATCTTTGCCTACTGTCCTCCCTCTGTTGAAATTTGGGAATATTTTAAACATGTATATAACTCCTTGACGTCCCAAATGGGTTTTTCTCCAATAAATTCGATTTTCTCTATCGGAACCGCGAATTTATCGGAAAAAACCCTATTTCGCAACTGTTGTTGACACTCACTCAAATCATCATGAGTGAGATATGGAACAGCAGATGCCACCACATGTTTAGTAACATGAAAATCAATCCAATGGCAGTGATCAAGGTAATAATCAGGAAAATCAGGAGTATTATTACTTTAAAATATAATTATCATGTCCGTGGAAACACTACGAATATTTTTTTTGTCAATTTTTTTGTGTTAAAGATATAATATGCCAAGTAGAAAACGGAAGACTGAAACTAAACATATGAGCTAAACTGACACGCTAGCTCAATAAAAGAACTATATGTTTAGTGATGTATTCCATTTCTCTACGAATTATTATTTTTACAACAAAATATTATTATTTATGTTTAAAAAATCACTGCCAGCCTTTATTTTATGAATTATAATTTCCCTTTTTAAATGTTTTTCTGTAGCGTACGTAATGTGATGTTTGTGTAAAAGTCTTGTAATTTTTTGCTGTTATATTATTAAAATTTCCTTCCTTTAAACAAAAACTTCTTGATTTCTTTTTTAAAAAAATCTTCCTCTTTAACTTTTTCAAACCTTTCGATTTCTTTTCGCACAAGGGCACTCTAATAAAAAAAAATATACAAAAAAAAATATAAAATCGAAAAATACAAAAAAATATAAAAATTAAAAAATCAAAATATAAATAAAAATAATATATATATATATATATATATATATATATATATATATATATATATATATATATATATATATATATATATATATATATATATATATATATATATAACCATGGTAACTATTGTAACACCTTTCATCTTCTTATTATTAAAACACCGTTATTATTGTAATCATAGTGAAACTTATTTTTTTTGAAAATGTGTAAACCATAGTAATAGTTGTAATATAAAAAAAATGATAGATTGTAACTTTAATTTTAAACACGTTGAGATAATGTAAACTCATAAAATTTTGTAAATAAATACTATTTTATAAAAAAAAAAAAAAAAAAAAAAAAAAAGAAATATGTATCTATAAATACATATATACTACTTATATACTCAACACGTGACTTCAACAAGGGACTTCGCAAAATTGTACACAACAAATATCCTGTTAGATAAATTATTGATGTCAGAGGAGTTAAACTCCCACCAGAGTTCGAAACCATGACCTACAGTGAGATTTGTGAATATAATACCAATTTCTTTCGTGGGTACGACAAAAAGGCACTGAAGAAGAACTAAAAATATTTATAAGGTACAAAAGGGCGGAACATGAAAGGGGTCATTTTGAAGAAAGCCAACTAAGACTAAAGGTAATGAAAAAAGAAAATACAAAGTTAGAATCAAACGAACTAAATGCAAAAAAACCCAAATGTGAAATAAACAACCGTGATGAATGGTAGTAACTCCAGAAACACACTTTTCTTTCTCATCAATGCAAATAACCCAAAATTAACAATAAAAACTAAAATGTAACATAATTATATAACAAAAATATATATTACTATAAAATAAAACATAACTTTATAAAATAAACACAACTAAAATATAAAATCTATATAACAAAAAAAACAAAACAAAAAAACAAAACAAAATATACTACTTATATACAAGTTATATACTAGTTAAGCAGCCGTGGCGCAGTGGTAACGCACTTGTTTCAGAAACGTATGATCCGTGGTTCAAACCCCACCTCTGAACAAGTTTTGCGACATCGGTTGGGAAGGAGGCGTGAACTTCCTAATAAATGCTCTTCCGCGGTGCTCTGTGATAAGACCGTAACGACTTCTTGGGCATATATAGAGATAAATTTATATACGCATAAATTTATCTCTATATATGCGTATAAATTTATCATAATATATTGTGTTTATATGTATATGCCTAAAATAAAAGAAATAAATTTAAACTTTACATAACACATACGTATTCAATCCAAATAGAAGTGTCATTATCGAAAGACTATTTATGTGATTTGTAAATATATCATAAAAAAGAAATACGGCTTTTATTTAAAATTTACACTTTAAACGTTAAAACAAATGCCAAATTCGCACCCCAAAATTAACAAAGTACAAACGAAACTGTTTTCATAAAAAAAAAAAATTCATAAAATTTGGTCAGTGTAATAATAAAAAGGTATACAGCATATTATTAAGATTTCTAAAAAGTTAAAAATCAGTACACTATTTTAAAACTTGCAATCAGTACTCTATTTTAAAACTTGCAAATATAAAGAAGTAAAAAAAAATCTTCAGGTAATTTGTTTTTCAGTTATTAACGGTTTTAACGTGGACGTTAATGAAATCAAAAGTCAATTAGAATTATTATTTTCCCACTTTCGACAAATTTTAGTTGGTTTCTTTTTTTTTTTTTTTTTTTTCTTTTTTTCTATTTACAAGTTTACAATCTTACTCATTTTAAAATTATAATAAATTCAATAATATAACGTAACGTTTACAAGATTTACTAGGAAGAACACGGAAACTCAGAGAAGACCTGAAGGTCTTGTCGTCGAAAACTGCAGCCGTATTCTCTCCGTTAAGCTTAACGGAGCGTTTATCAAAAATTTTATTACGACATCTTAATATAAAGAAATGAAAAAAACTTTATTTAAATTTGTTTAAATAAAACTTATACTAAAATAAAACAATTTTATTTAAAAATTTATATTTTTAAAGAAATTTTTAAGTTAATGTAGTTAAATAGAACTGTTTGACAAGCGCTCCCTTAAGCTTAACGGAGAGATGAGAATACGGCCACTGCTTGTTAACTAGTAAAAATATCTGAAAGTTTAATAATTTGATAAGTGTGTATTAATATTAACTTTTATTAATTTAATTAAAATGATAATTAAATTAAAGTTGTCATAGCACTTTGTATTTATTTATTTTTGAAAGATATTCCCGTCAAAAAAAAATCTTCGATAATGAAAAAAGATACCAAATTTATGTAAGTTTCGCTATCCGACAAACAATCCTAATTTATTGCTATCGTTTTTTATTTTTATTATCGTTAATTATTTGCTATCGTTTACAAGTCTTAAGAAATAATTTAATGACGATTTCGGTATTAACACTTCGCTTGCAATGTGTTTTCTTCTAGTTATCGAGACACGATGATTAGATCATTTTAAAATAATTGTTTATGTACGAAAATGTTTTTGTTTTACGTAAGACGTTTTTTTTTAGTAAATGGTGTTTTTTTAATTAACGTTTTATAAATTATACACTTTTATAAATTAGTTATAAATAAAAAAGCGTATTAAATGGCTAGTCCAAGAACAAGAAGAGTTCTAAGAGATTTGAAGTTTAAAGACGGAAATAATGTAAGTTCATTATGCTGCTAAATAAATATGCGTCTAAAAATTTTAAACAGTTAACTCATAAAAAATCAGTTGAAAAATAGACGAAAAAACCATAGTTCAGAGTTATTATATATTCACCATAGTTTTATTTAGAAAGCAATAAGTACATTTGTTTATATACATGCTGGAAAGTGTATAAGAAAACAAGGTAAAAAAAGTACATGTTAATTAAACAGAATTCTCTAACTGTTTAATTAACAAGTACTTTTTTTTTATCTTTTTTTCTTATCTTTATTTCTTATATGCTTTTTTATATGTTTTCTTATATGTTTCTAGAAATATTAGGTTAATGTAAATGAGATTATATTAAAAGGTTAATAGTTAACCTTTTCAAAGGTTAACCATTAAAAATAAACTTTTCATGTGCCATATTATGCTTTAAAAAAAACGCTTAAAAAATTATTATAAAATCACGATTTACATTTTTTTTTTGATAGACACGAAGTTCAATATTACACCGGCCATGTTCAAAACCATTGGTCATTCTTTTTAGAATTACAAAATTTTTCCATTCCCTTTTTTTATTAGTAATTCTGATTTAAAATTTTATTCATTCAGAATTGTATACCGGGTTTTGAATCCATTTAAAACAAATATGACATGTGTTTAAAACAGCCACAATTTTCATTAAAAAAAACAACAACGTTAATTTAAAACCCATGATAATCAATTGAAATATTTGTGATTTCCAATTAAAACATTAAATAAATGCACAATCTCAACATTCTATATTATTCAAAAAAAAAAGGTTTTATTTATATATTTATTTATTTGATATTATATAAACTTATTTTTATTAACATTATATTGATTTATTTTAATTTAATTTATATTATAAAAAGGTATTGATCATCATGCATGTTTTAAATAAACATCATGATTGTTTTAAATGAAAATCATGGTTGTTTTAAATGGATGCCATATTTGTTTTAAATAGATGCAAAACCCAGTAAGGCGTTCTCTTCATACCTGGAAAGACCATGGTTTGTATCCCTCATTTTTTCTTATTTTTTTATATCTTGTTGCGCATATAATTGCTGTGACACCATTCACCTATTCTCTATGTATAGAATACACATCTCTCAACATCAACTTTATCTTATCATTAAAGCCTCTCAGTGTATTTTCTAAGTAAGGCATATACACATATACCAGGTTTTCCATCCATCCAAAACAAATCTGACATTTATATATTATCCAAAATTAAAATAAATTCTGTTGAATTATAATAATTTAACAGAATTTATTTTAATAAAAATATATCAATAAAAATAAATTAATAAAAATAATATTAAATAAGTAAATGTTTAAATAAAACCTTTATTTTTTTTTGAATAATATAGAATGTTGAGATGTGCGCATGTGTTAAATGTTTTAATTGTAAATCATGACTGTTTTAATTGATTATCATGGGTGTTTTAAATGAACCTCATGGTTGTTTTAAATGAAAATCATGGTTGTTTTAAATGGATGTAAAACCTGGTTTGAAACTTTAGGAAAAGTATTCTAGTTTAATGTTAAAAATTTACACTTTAAATTTAAATGTTTTTTAAGGTAAGCTTTAAAAATTTCACTGGTTTTTATTGCCAAAAAAAGTAAAAATATTTAGAAAATTGGCCTCAGCAAAACCTATCGATTGATTGATCTTTGACACAAAGTGCAGATGAGTTTTAGAACAAAATAGCTCTACCTAAACTTCAATTTGGAAAACAGGGATTAAATATCCAAAAATATAATTGCCAAAAATATTACAAATTGTTTTAAAAAGATAATAAACTAAAAATAATGTTTAAAATATTTGGTTTTCAGTCTGGAAAAAAAATATTTGTTAAAATTTGTTGTATAAAAAAAAAATTATCAAAACTAAATTATTTTTTTTATTACAATTAGATTTAACAATGTTAAACCTAATTTTAATAGAATGTTAAATCTAATTGAAATAAAGGAAAGATTTTGCAATTAAAATGTTAATTCTAATTGTAATAAAAATTTCATTTTTATTATAATTAGATTTAACAATGAAATATGCCAAGTTTTTATTAATTTTTTTTGTAAAATAGTAAAATCTGTTTATGCATAAATTAGGGCTGTCATTATTTTTTTTAACTAACAAAAATATTTTTTATTTAAATATGCTAATAAATTAATGATTAGTTATTATTCTTGTAAAGAAAAATAGTTTTAAAGTTAGTTGATTAACTCATACCTGATTTAATCAGAAACAAAATGCAATATTCAGTACATTTACTTCAAACTCAAATTAGTGGTTGCTTGCAGCCTGGTTGGAAGCGAAGATGTTAAAAAAAAAAGTATGTTTAGCATTTGTATAAGAAATTTGAATGTGAAGAGATGTCTATCATTCAAAACATACAGCAAAAAGATTTTTTATATACAAAAAAGAAAAATTAAATGTTTTCCAGCAAATATATGATTAGCGACAGTTAAAAAAAAAAGAAAGTGGTAGAATTCCAACCATGGAGATTCTGTGTATGAAGTAAACGCAGGCCTTGTTAAGAAGCGTTACGCTATTTGAATTTTACGCAATTTATGTTATGCTTAAACTTTTTTTAATTAGTTTATTTAGTCTTTTATTAGAACAGATTAGGTGGAAAACATTAAGCTGTAATTAATTGTTGTAAAAAAACATCTGGGGAATATTTTTTTATTAGATAAAAAAACATAGATAAACTTTTTTCTGTTTTTCGTTTTTTTTTTTAATATTATCATTTTATTTTATTAAATTTAAATTAAATTTATTGTTAAATATAATAAAATATAAATTTGTTTTATTAAATTTTTTGTTTATTTAGTTTATTACTTTATCATTACTTAAGTTTTACAATTTTTTTCTGCTAAAATTTTCAAACTATGTTAAAGTAAAAAAAAAATAATAATAAATTTAATTTAAGTTACTTTAAAATGTTCGTGTTACATATAACTTTATTTTATATTTCAGTTCTGAAATAGCATATTAACAAAATTTTTTTCTTTATCATTAGTTTTTTGAATTGATTATAGACTGAACAACGAATAAAAATGATTAACTAGTTTATGAGTAGTATGCATAGATTTTGCATACTTTTGCATAACAAAACAGGAAAGCGATAATCTCTTTGTTTAATTACAAATTTTATTTTGTCAAAAGCCAGTTTAAATAAGGAGTCGTCCATAGAGTACATACGCCTAAAATTTTGAAATTTGGTCCCTCTCCCTCCCCCCTGTTGCCATGCCTACTTCTATTTCCTTCCCCCCTAAAAAGTACATACGTTTTTGAACAACCCCTCCCCCCCTCTAATTTTTTTTTTTCAATAAAAAATTTTATGGAAAAAAAAAGATGGAGGATGTACCTTAGATACTTTATACAACCCTAAAGCTCTTTGTTTGCGGCACAGAATCCCAATTTAAAAAACATCTACAAATATATATGTCAATATTAATATTAATAAAGCTAAATTTAACATTTCCAATGTGTTTGCTTGGCTGAAAGGTTAATGCTGTGGACTGCGGCGGTGGAGACCGGTGTTGGATTCCTGGTTGAGTTCATATTGTACTTTTTTTTTGTTTTAATGACAAATCAAATAAAAATAAACTATACAAAAGGTGGACATTTTTTTCATGCACCCCTCTTTAATAAGTCCGTAAAAAATGAGCCTTATGCGAAGTCATTAATATCGGAAACCAAGCTTAAAACCCAGTACCGAGGATAGGCTACCCATACCTCTCAATTTGAGGAGGGAGGGTGGAAGAGGGCAAAAAATTTTGTGCCCTTTTGCTAATTTAAGGAGCTTTTTATTTTAGCAAAAGATTTTGAAACCCAAATGATACGTTTTTTTTTTTTGGGGGGGGGGGGGGCTTTGACCTATTAACCAAGGCACTGCTAAAACCTGTTTTTTGTCGACTCAAAAATAGGTTACCTGAAATAGACCTTACTCAGGGCCAGTATATAAGATGTGTGCATGGGCACCCATAGGATTTTTTGATGTTTTAGATTAGACACTTTCACACATTTGGCATATGTTACTAAAAATATTGTGAAAGTGTCCTCTCTGGAACATCAAAAAATCCTGTGGGCTCCCATGCATGTGCGTGGATTGAGGGAAACTATACCTTCTACTTCCTATACTAAACATCTTTTTATGTTGGCAAACTAGGATCTTTAGTCAGAATTTTAACTTTTCTATTGATTAGCTGGTTAATTGTGGTAAATTAGAAAATCAATGTACGTATTTTTATATTGAACCCTCTCCCTCCCCCATACTTTTTCTTGCGCTTATATGAAGAGCTCCCCTCCCCCCCCCCCCCTATGAGCGTACATACTTTATGGGCCACCTCTAAAATGTTTTAGGTAGCGTGAACGTTTTTATAAATGGGAAAACCCAATCTAATTGTATAGTTGTGTAAACTATTTAAGAAACTTTAGTAAGTACATTTAAATCCTTTTAAGAAATTCAACCATAAACATGTGTTCCCTCATTAAAAAAAATAATAACCATAAAAAATATGTTTTAAAAAAAGAAAAATAAGTTTTAATAAGTATAGGATTTTAAAATAATTTTTTTTAAACAAAATTTAAATTTTATTTATAACTTTTTTTAAACAGTATTGTTTAATTTAAAGATATTTAAGGGGTAAACAGATTCTATCTGTTGGTAAAACAGATTCTATCTTAAGGGGTAAACAGATTCTATCTGTTGACCAGCCTCGCACCCCTTCCTCATCTATTAGGCTGGCGCAGATGTATTTTTAATACATTGTTTCCAGTTTAGGATGTTGAACGCTGGATATTCTTGACTCAATGCGTGGGTATTGCTTGTGTCTCTATTTTTATGACTGGGCAACACATTCTATTATCTCCTAATGAGGGTACAGCTCTAAAACTCAGTTTTATGGTTCTGAGGCCGGCTGGTAGTCAGGTTTCCCGAACTCTGTGGTAGCTCTCAGAGAGGCTGATTCCATCAACA